AAAAAAGCAACTGAGTATACTACTTTATCACTTGAGGCCTTAACTTCTGCTTCAATGAAATGAGGTTTTTAGACTATATAAGTGCAGGGGCCGGCACTGTGGTGTAGCGGATAAAGCTGCCGCCTGCAGTGCCGGCATCCCATACGGGTGCCAGTTTGAGTCCTGGCTGCTCTACTTCTGATCCAGCTCTCTGCTATGGCCTGGGAAAGCAGTACAAGATGGCTCCAGTTCTTGGGCCCCTGCACCAGTGTGGGAAACCCAGAGGAAACTCCTGGCTCCTGGCTTCAGATTGGCGCAACTCCGGCCATTGCGGTCAACTGGTGAGTGAACCAGCAGATGGAAGACCTCTCTCTCTCTCTCTCTCTCTCTCTCTCTTTCTTTGTCTCTCCTTCTCTCTCTGTGTAACTCTGACTTTCTAATAAATAAATAAAATCTTTTAAAAAAAAGAATATATAAGTGCAAAAGTTCCTTTCCGCCTGAACATTTCATGATTTCATCTTTCAATTATTACCTATGAAATGCCAGACATCCTGTCACTGACTTCACATACATAATTTTAATGACTTCTCACAACACTCTTCAAGTTAGTTATAATTGTCTCTATTTTAACAATGACGTTGAAATTCATAAAGATAAAAGTGACTGTTTTAGTAAGTACTGAACTTGAAATTCAACCCTTGCTCTGTATGATTATAAAACTCATACTCTTCACTACACCATGTTTAGGCGATATAGGAGAGAGATTAGGCAGAACTTGATCAGTTGTCTGGCTTTTAGGGACAGGGATAAGATTACAAACAGAGCCCATAATGCTCTTTCCCATAATGTGAAGGGACATTTAGTTCATGAGGACAGTGGAAACCTAGTATTCGTTTTTGTTGTTTTCTCGCAACCATCTACCCTCTTTCTGGAGGAACTCATTCCATGTTGTTTGGGTAGACTGACTCAGCTCCCATTCTTGGCTGTAAAGACTAAATGAGTCAACAATAGATACACATCCCCAAGCACATTCATCAGTAGTTCTCCATGATGTTTAATTTGTGGTCTTAAAGTGGGAGAGGTGGCATATAGTTTTTTATTCCAGGTCTTTACCTTCTACTTAAAGGAGCATTCTAAGCACAGATATTTATATGGTGCATGTAATGTTTATTTAAGAGGTGAGAAGCGCACACACACATAGAGGCATAGGTAAGGAGTAGAGAGGGGAGAAAGAGGTAGGAGACAGGAAGTAGAGAGATGGAGCAGCTCAGCACCTCCATTAGTCTTGGACTCCAACAAGATGGACAAGCAATTCCCAGCTCCTCCTTTTATGATGTAACGTGGTAAACTGAGAGTTTATGATACCTCCATAAAATTCCATGTGGAGCTTAATATACATATTTACATGGTGAATACTGCCCAATTCCCAGAGGGAATTAGGTATCCTGGATAAGGAGATATTCGGATAGACAAGTACGATAGAACTACATGGGGCAGAGACTTGTAGTTAGTGACTTCCAGCTCAGCTAGCTACCTTATCCCATTTCCGTCTCTCTTTCTGTGATTTCTCAAGCTTGGCATGTCAACAATCATTCTGCCATCATACAGACAAGGAGTTCTGAGAAGCCAACCAGAAAAGGGAGACAGAAAGGGCCTGAAATACAGAGACATTGTTTGCACTTTCAGATCAAGCTATACTTAAATCAGACAGCCCTTGGAATTCATGGCTTTTATTTATTTATTTTTTTGACAGGCAGAGTGGACAGTGAGAGAGAGAGACAGAGAGAAAGGTCTTCCTTTGCCGTTGGTTCACCCTCCAATGGTTGCTGCGGCAGGGGCGCTGCGGCCGGCGCACCGTGCTGATCCAAAGGCAGGAGCCAGGTACTTATCCTGGTCTCCCATGGGGTGCAGGGCCCAAGCACTTGGGCCATCCTCCACTGCACTCCCTGGCCACAGCAGAGAGCTGGCCTGGAAGAGGGGCAACCGGGACAGAATCTGGTGCCCCGACCAGGACTAGAACCCAGTGTGCTGGTGCCGCAAGGCAGAAGATTAGCCTATTGAGCCGTGGCGCCGGCTGGCTTTTATTTTTTACTAAAGTCAATTTTAGTTTGATTTCTGTCATTTATAAGTAGAGTATGACTAATTCAGAGGTCTTCAAGTATTGCAAATAACATGCCTAAAAAATGCAGAATTGGCTAAGGATTGTGCTCAAGAAGGATGTTCCTGCCTCCAGTTGAGAAGTGGCAATTTCTGCTACACAATCACACAACATAAATTATTGCCTTGCTGTGTTCTAAGATTCAGACTGCTAAGGCCTGCTAAGGCTGCAGCTTTAGGGTACTGACAGAAAAACACTGGATGTCTCATCTCCCCTTCTTATCCGAAGTTCTCAAGAATAACAGCAGAAATGTGCTGAGAATGCAACAAGGGGGAACTGTCCAGAATAGCCCCAGAGTATCTTCCTATTCCTCCCAGAACTCGATGTCCTACAGTGTTTTAGCCCTACAGTGATCCCATATAAAACAAAACAAAACAAAATTGGATTGCTACAGGAATCTCTCATCTGTATCCAGTGAGATTTACAGATGAGATTCTATTTACCCTGAAGGTAGCTTTCCTGAACCTGGGTGGGGATGGAGGTGGGGGTGGGAACTGGCTTCCTTGAATCCTAGGCTTCTGTTGTCCCTCATTACTTAGCTGTGACTTATAAAGTTGCTTCACTTAGTATGTTACATGAGTTTTATGTCTCTTAGGGCTAATGCAGGTGGCAGAAATTATAGCCCATGATGCAGTCTGGAATAATCATTGCATGGTGAATCTGCCAAAGTAGCCTAGTACGTAATGAACTTGCTTTGGGACTTGAGTGAATAACAGTTCTGAAGTTTCCTCCAAAGACAAGATCTCAGGCCACAGACGCCCAACTTGCTCTGCATTATTTCAAGTCAGAGATCAGGATGGCTGCCACTAAGCTGAGGCCCCTGCAGATGGGCAGAGCAAGCAGCTGCTATAGGGAGAAAGAAACCCAGAAGCCAAGGAATAGACGCAAGGAATGCGGCCCTATAGCATTTCTAGTTTTCATTATTCATTCATGGACCTGACTGAATGTGAATTTACCAGAACCCTGTCAAGATTTTAAGGGATATTGTCTTGTCTGATAAATCCCTACCTAACACAGCCTATGATTACCAAGGCAACTGTGAAGTCTTCAAACCCAAATCTCTATGAAGTAGGATGCAAAACAGACTTCCCCAAAGTCTGTCATGGATGATGACAACAGAGGAGAGTCAACTTTTCTGTTGACTCTGAGAACACAGAATGATACGATAGATTGGTTGACTAAAGGAATTTTGGCCTCTGCAGGGATAGAGGGTCCCCATTCTTCCTAAGCAGCAAAATCTGATTTACCTCATGGACAACTAGCCAATTTCATTTTTCAATCTCTCCTTCCCTCAATGAATTCTTTTTGGTTTTTTTGACAGGCAGAGTGGACAGTGAGAGAGAGAGACAGATCAGATCAAGTGGTTGGGCCCTGCATCCCATGGGAGACCAGGAGAAGTACCTAGCTCCTGCCTTCGGATCAGTGCGGTGCGCCAGCCGCAGCACCCCAGCTGCAGCGGCCTTTGGAGGGTGAACCAACGGCAAAGGAAGACCTTTCTCTCTGTCTCTCTCTCTCACTGTCCACTCTGCCTGTCAAAAAAATAAATAAATAAAAGCCATGAATTCCAAGGGCTGTCTGACTTAACTATAGCTTGATCTGATCTGTCTCTTCCTTTACCGTTGGTTCACCCCTTAATGGCAGCTGCAGCCGGCGCGCTGTGGCCAGCACACCACGCTGATCCAAAGCCAGGAGCCAGGTGCTTCCTCCTGGTCTCTCATGCGGGTGCAGGGCCCAAGAACTTGGGCCATCCTCCACTGCACTCCCAGGCCACAACAGAGAGCTGGACTGGAAGAGGAGCAACTGGGACAGAATCTGGCGCCCCGACCGGAACTAGAACCCGGGGTGCCGGCGCCACAGGTTGAGGATTAGCCTATTGAGCCGTGGCGCTGGCCTCCTCAATGAATTCTTTTTTTTTTTTTTTTTTTTTTTTTTTTTTTTTTTCACAGGGCAGAATTGAAAAGTGAAAGAGAGAGACAGAGAGAAAGGTCTTCTTTTGCCATTGATTCAACCTCCAATGGCCACTGCGGCCAGCGCACCGCGCTGATCCGATGGCAGAAGCCAGGTACTTATCCTGGTCTCCCATGGGGTGCAGGGCCCAAGTACTTGGGCCATCCTCCACTGCACTCCCTGGCCACAGCAGAGAGCTGGCCTGGAAGAGGGGCAACCGGGACAGAATCTGGTGCCCCGACCGGGACTAGAACCCGGTGTGCCAGCGCCGCAAGGCAGAGGATTGGACTAGTGAGCCACGGCACCGGCCCTTCAATGAATTCTTAAAGTGCGTACTGCTCTTCATCTGTGTATACTGGGCACATTCTTGGTTTTCAAATTAATATTGAGTCTATACACTAAGAAAATTCAAAGAAGGACTGCATTTGATCTAGAAGAACACAAATCATCTGAAAACTCTCACCTTGGAGCTGGCTCCAAAAATGTGACAATTCTTTGGGTTTGCTCCCTCTGGAGGGGTAGAAGGGGGGCATGTTGTTAGTTGTCTATATTATTTTGCTTTATATTGAGCAGGGCTTGGTTTTATAACAGTGTGATTGAGAAGAAGGTTGTGTCTGGACACTAGACAACTATAATGTGGAGTAAAGTTAGGGACTGGTTTGATAAAGGGAATTTAAGCTGTAGTGGTAAAAACATGCTTTACAGAAACTACACTGAATTAAGAATGAAGAAACTTGGGATCCAGGCTTGAGTCTACTAACATAATAATCTTTTGGGGCATTTGTCAGGTTCTGTTCTATAATAACAACTACCATCACATTCAGTGGTGCTAGGTGATTAACAAGCTTCCTGCCTGTAACTGTTGAATCATGGTTGCTGGGGTGCAGAGGCCTAATTTCTAGGCATCTGAACTTACCTTGAAGGCCATGGGTATTTCAATGATATACAGATCTATATAATCAAGTTTGAGAACCTTGAGTGTCCTCTCCAGGGTTGGCCGCACCATCACTGGGTCATGATTCGTAGCCCAGAGCTGAAAAAGTCAAAGGGAGAGAGTTAGCTAATGTACACACTATTTTCACAATAACATAGCCTTTTATCTTTTGTAAAGCATTCACCTGTCGCTCCCCCTCTTCGTGGAGGAACGACACTAAGCCCTGCCTAGGCTTCATATCCGAGTCGCGGCACCATTATGTCGCTCCCCGTCTTCGTGGAGGAGCGACACTGAACCCTGCCTAGGCTTCATATCCGAGTCACGGCACCATTATGTCGCTCCCCGTCTTGGTGGAGGAACGACACAGGACCCTGCGCTGTTCTTTCGTCTGCTCGGCCCTCCCCGGGTTTGCTGCTGGTCCTTCCCGGGTTGGCTGCTGGTCCTTCCCGGGTGGGCTACTGTCCCTTCCACCTCCGTGGAAGGGCAGTTCCCCCTGGCCACATTCCCCACTTCCGCAGGGGAGCGGCACACTGCCGGCCGGCTCTCTCGGGGGCTGCACAGGTGTTCCCTCAGATGTTCCCCTTAGATGTTCCTGGTGCATGCCGTCTCTCTCCTCCTTTATAGTCCTCCTCCGCCAATCCTAACTCGGCTGCCCACACGCCGAGTACGCTGCTCTCCAATCAGGAGCAAGTCCTACAGTTTATTGATTGAACTGGAGGCAGCTGTGCAGAAGCTGTTTACTTCTCTCCCAGCGCCATATTGTGGGAGAGCAGATGCATAGAATAAGTCTTAATTCCAGTAACTTAGTCCAGTCCGGATTGCTCCCCACATTCACCCACATCTCTTCCACTTATTTAACAATCATATGTTTGTGCTGCAACTATCCAAATATAGTACAAGAAAAGTCAATATCTACTTGACCACAGAGTGCATGACTCAAGAACAAAATCTTCCCCTGACCCATGCTAATTTCCTAGTTGGCCTTTAATGTGTTTATTTTTTCTCACTGTAAAACTAGGAAATGTGCATCTTGCAGATGTCCTGACCTAGCCTGCCATTTCATTTTCCTGCCACTATAACGAAATACATACTTTAAATTTGCAAAAACTATGGTTATGTGTGGCTTCAAGGAATCCTTCACTTTGGAACAGGTGGTACTGAAATCTCATGAAATGTTAAATCATTGTGGGGCCGGTGCTGTGGCACAGCACGTTAATGCACTGTCCTGAAGTGCTGGCATCCCATATGGGCACCAGTTCGAGTCCTGGCTGCTCCACTTCTGATCCAGCTCTCTGCTATGGCCTGGGAAAGTAACAGAAGATGGCCCAAGTCCTTGGGCCCCTGCACCCACGTGGGAGACCTGGAAGACCTCTCTCTCTCTCTCTCTGCCTCTCTTCTCTCTGTTATAACTCTGACTTTCAAATAAATAAATATATCTTTAAAAAAGAAGAAATGGATAAAGTATTATATTGTACATCAACAGTCAGGACAAAAAAAGAGTGTCAATTGTTAAATCAACAACGGGAGTCACTGCACTTACTCCCCATGTAGGAGCTCTGTCCTTAATGTGTTGTACTATGTGAATTAATGGTAAAACTAGTACTCAAACAGTACTTCACACTTTGTGTATCTGTGTGGGTGCAAACTGTTGATATCTTTTCTTAGGATATACCAAGTTGATCTTCTGTATATAAATATAATTGAAAATGAATCTTGATGAAGAATGGGATGGGAGAGGGATTGGGAGATGGGATGGTTGCGGGTGGGAGGGAGGTTATGGGGGAAAAACCTCTATAATCCAAAAATTGTACTTTCGAAATTTAGATTTATTAAATAAAAGTTTAAAAAAAAACTTTAAAAAAAAAGAAAAGAAAAGATTCTAAAACGTGTTCGAGAGAAACGCCAGATTACTTTCAGAGGATCTCCAATTAGACTTACAGCGGACTTCTCATCAAAAACCCTATAGACTAGCAGAGAATGGCGAGATAAATTCCAAGTTTTAAGAGAAAATAACTGTCAACACAGGATAGTATACCCTGCAAAGCTCTCATTTATGAATTAAGGTGAAATAAAGACCTAAAAAAATAAAATAAAATAAATAAAAAAGAAGAAATGTTAAATCATTGCATACATTTAAATTCCTTGTCCTGTTCTTTTGTACTCATTTTTTTAAATTTTTTTAAAATTTTTTTGATAGGCAGAGTTAGACAGTGAGAGAGAGAGAGAAACAAAGAGAAAGGTCTTCCTTCCGTTGGTTCACCCCCAAAATGGTCGCTACAGCCGGCGCACAGCACCAATCCGAAGCCAGGAACCAGGTGCTTCCTCCTGGTCTCCCATGCAGGTTCAGGGCCCAAGGACTTGGGCCATCCTCCACTGCCCTCCCAGGCCACAGCAGAGAGCTGGACTGGAAAAGGAGCAACCAGGACAGAATCCGGCGCCCCAACCGGGACTAGAACCCGGGGTGCCGGCGCCACAGGCGGAGTATTAGCCTAGCGAGCCGCGGCACCAGCCAACTTTTGTACTCATTTGTTTCATCTCAGACTTTGGGTTAATTCTGCCAGTTCCCACTAAGAATCTGCTTAATTTCTAGTGCTACATAATGAAGTATTAAGGTTTGATTGGTCATCTTGAAACATCCTACATAAAAGGGTGCCCAGAGATGTTCAGACAAACGCTTTTTGCCTTGGAAGCACAGAGAAAAGAAAATTGAATGTGGATAAACCAGAACTGTGTTTTGTCATTACTGTGGGCACATTTGGGTTATGGTTATGGTTCCACTAAGTGAAAATTCTGCTTTTTTCAATAACTTATTTTATTTTCTTATTTTAATAACTTTCACTCAATACCTAGAATATTAGTTTTGTGCTAGGTATTGTGCTAGGTATTATCTTATTATTTCCCCTTTACAGAGAGGGAAACTGAGGCCCAGAAACTCTGAACTACTTACAGCCCCTCGTGACACATCTGACATGCTGGCCTGGCAACCTAGCACCAGGATCTATGCCCTTAACCACTGCCCAACACTGCCTCTCAGGCCCTGCCAATGAAAACCAATCCTGCTGGAGCCATAACAACTGAACCTTACATAAACTCAGTACTCCCTCTCCTTCTGTTTCCTTAACCAAAGACGGTCATATTCTGCCTGTGGGAGCTTTAGTCTACACAGCACATTACTGAATTGCATATATATAAATATAGGGATAAAACACAATTATACTTTTGAGAAAATTTAAGGATTTTACAGAGTGCATTAGGTCTAATGGTTAAGAGGCCCAAATCCCACATCAGCATGCCTGGATTAAATTCTTGGCTCTTCTCCTCACTCCAGCTTCCAGCCATTGCGAACACTGGGAATCAATCAATCTCTCTCTCTCTCTCTCTGTCTCTCTCTCCCCCCATCCCCCTGTCAGTCAAATAAGAAAAAGAAGGATTTTAAAAAATATTTTGACCACTTTCTTGTCAGATGCTAGCTTCAGCACCTGCCATAGTGAAAATGACACTCTAGGACATCAAGCCAGAGGCTTGCATGGTGTGCCTCCCCAGGATGATCAAATAACTAGCTACCCGATTTGTGAACTTCTTTTATTTTTAAAATTTATTCATTTATTTATTTGAAAGGCAGAGCTACAGAGAGAAAAGGAGAGAAGGAGAAAGATCTGCCATCCACTGGTTCACTCCCAAAACGGCGGCAACAGCCAGAGCTGAACCTGACTGAAATCAAGAGACTGGAACTCTGTCTGATTCTCCTAACATGGGAGCAGCGGCCCAAGAACTTGGGCCATCCTCTGCTGCCTTCCTAGGTACATTAGCAGAGGGCGGGATTGGAAGTGGAGCAGCCATGGCTCAAACCCGTGCTTACATGGGATGCTGGCACTGCAACTGGTGACTTAAATGCGCCAAAATGCTGGCCCCTAGGTTTGTTAACTTATTGACTGATTTTGGATATATGCTTGATTTCTTTTAATAACCAAAGTCCACTGGTTGCAAAAGTTGACCCCATTTCCTTCCTCAAAATATTACTAAATTTGCTATATTTCTCCCATAATCTGATAACATAAGAATGTTGAAAATTCTATTTTGCGGCTGGCGCCACGGTTCAATAGGCTAATCATCCTCCTGTGGCGCCAGCACACCGTGTTCTAGTCCTGGTTGGGGCGCCGGTTCTGTCCCAGTTGTTCCTCTTCCAGTCCAGCTCTCTGCTGTGGCCTGGGAGTGCAGTGGAGGATGGCCCAAGTCCTTGGGCCCTGTACCTGCATGAGAGACCAGGAGAAGCACCTGGCTCCTGGCTTCGGGTCAGCGCGGTGCGCCGGCCGCAGCAGCCACTGGGGGGTGAACCAACAGAAAAGGAAGACCTTTCTCTCTGTCTCTCTCTCTCACTGTCCACTCTCTGGAGGAAAGAAAAGAAAGAAAAGAAAAGAAAAGAAAAGAAAAGAAAAGAAAAGAAAAGAAAAGAAAAGAAAAGAAAAGAAAAGAAAAGAAAAGAAAAGAAAAGAAAAGAAAAGAAAAGAAAGAGAGAAAGAAAGAAAGAAAGAGAGAGAGAAAGAAAGAAAGAAGGAAAGAAGGAAAGAAAGAAAGAAGGAAAGAAGGAAAGAAAGAAAGAGAGAGAGAGAGAGAGAAAGAAAGAAAGAAGGAAGGAAGGAAGGAAGGAAGGAAGGAAAGAAAGAAAGAAGGAAGGAAGGAAAGAAAGAAAGAGAGAGAGAAAGAAAGAGAGAGAGAGAGAAAGAAAGAAAGAAAGAGAGAGAGAGAGAGAGAAAGAAAGAAAGAAGGAAGGAAGGAAGGAAGGAAGGAAAGAAAGAAAGAGAGAGAGAGAAAGAAAGAGAGAGAGAAAGAAAGAAAGAAAGAGAGAAAGAAAGAGAGAAAGAGAGAGAGAGAGAAAGAGAGAAAGAGAGAAAGGAAGGAAGGAAGGAAGGAAGAAAGAAAGAGAAAAAGAAAATTCTATTTTGCATGATTTTGGTATCATCTAAGTTTACCTTAAATAGAAAATACAAATTGTTATTATACTAAATACAGCATGAAATAATTTCTCAGTATCTACAGGGGATTGTTCCCAAGACTCAAAATGCATTATGTAAAAGGGCAAAAATTTGCATATAGTCTATATAATTCTCTCCCCCATACTTTGACTCATCTATAAATTACTTGTAATATCTGATAAAATGCAAATCCTATGTACTTATTGCAATGTATTTTAAGTAATAATGACAAGAAAAAGTGCACACATTCAGTACAAATGTATTTTTCTGATTTTTTTGATCCATGATTGATTGAATCTATGGATGCAGAGCCCGTAAACATAAAGGGCTGAGAATACTTACACGAGTACAATTAGATTACACACACATAAGCACGCAGATAGAGGGAAGCTGGATAATAATATGAACACCCAGACACTTCCCTTCAGGGAAGTCAAGAAACTGAACCATAACCAATCTAAGAAGTCCTAGAAGGGCTCCGTTCCTCTGCACAGTTAAAAACTACCCTGAAGAGTGAAGAGGCAACTGACAGAATGGGAAAATATATTTGCAAACTATGCAACAGATAAAGGATTGATAACCAGAATCTACAAAGAAATCAAGAAACTACACAACATCAAAACAAACAACCCACTTAAGAGATGGGCCAAGGACCTCAATAGACATTTTTCAAAAGAGGAAATCCAAATGGCCAACAGACACATGAAAAAATGTTCAAGATCACTAGCCATCAGGGAAATGCAAATCAAAACCACAGTGAGGTTCCACCTCATCCCAGGTAGAATGGCTCACATTCAGAAATCTACCAACAACAGATACTGGCGAGCATGTGGGGAAAAAGGGACACTAACCCACTGTTGGTGGGAATGCAAACTGGTCAAGCCACTATGGAAGTCAGTCTGGAGATTCCTCAGAAACCTGAATATAACCCTACCATACAACCCAGCCATTTCATTCCTTGGAATTTACCCAAAGAAAATTAAATTGGCAAACAAACAAGCTGTCTGCACATTAATGTTTATTGCAGCTCAATTCACAATAGCTAAGACCCTGGAACCAACCCAAATGCCCATCAACAGTAGACTGGATAAAGAAATTATGGGACATGTACTCTATAGAATACTATACAGCAGTCAAAAACAATGAAACCTGGTCATTTGCAACAAGATGGAGGAATTTGGAAAACATCATGCTGAGTGAATTAAGCCAGTCCCAAAGGGACAAATATTATATGTTCTCCCTGATCCGCGACAACTAACTGAGAACCAAAGGGGAAACTTGTTGAAGTGAAATGGACACTATGAGAAACAGTGACTTGATCAGCTCTTGTCCTGACGGTTGATGTACAATGTAATACTTTATCCATTTTAGTATTTTTTGTTCTAGTACTATTGGTTGAACTCTGTAATTAACACACAATTATTCTTAGGTGTTTAAATTTTAAATGAAAAGTGATCCCTGTTAGGAATCTGGAAAACATTATGCTGAGTGAAAAAAGCCAGTCCCAAATGGACAAATACCGTATGTTCTCCTTGATAGGTGACAACTAACCGAGCACCAAAAAGGAAACCTGTTAAAGTGAAATGAACACTATGAGAAACGGTGACTTGATCAGCCCTCACCCTGTCTGTTGATGAACAACTTAATATGTTATTTCTCTTAGTATTTTTTTTTGTTTTTTCTACTTAATACTTTTGGTTGAATACTATAATCAATACACAGTTATTTTTAAGTGTTGAAACTTAACTGAAAAGTGATCGCTGTTAAATATAAGAGTGGGAATAAGAGAGGGAAGAGATGTGCAATTCGGGACATGCTCAAGCTGACTTACCTCAAACGGTAGAGTTAGAAACATACCAGGGGATTCCAATTCAATCCCATCAAGGTGGCATGTACCAATGCCATCTCACTAGTCCCAGTGATCAATTTCTGTTCACAATTGATCATAATGATAGGACTAAGAACCAAAGGGATCACATAAACAAGACTAGTGTCTGCAAATACTAACTGATAGAATAAAAAAGGGAGAGAACGATCCAACATGTGAAGTGAGATACACAGCAGACTCATAGAATGGAGGATGTCCTAAACAGCACTCTGGCCTCAGAATCAGCCCTTAAGGCATGCGGATCTGGCTGAAAAGCCCATGAGAATATTTCAGGCATGGAAAGCCAAGACACTCTGGCAAAAAAAAAAAAAAAATGACCTAAATGAAAGATCTCTGCGAGTGAGATCCCAGTGAAAAGAACAGGTCATCAAAGAAGGAGGTACCTTTCTCTGAAGGGAGGAGAGAACTTCCACTTTGACTATACCTTGTCTAAATATGATCAGAGTCGGCGAACTCAAAAGGCTTCCATAGCCTTGGCAACTCATGACAAGAGCCTGGGGTGATTACTGATGCCATAAACAAGAGTGTCAATTTGTTAAGTCAACAACAGGAGTCACTGTGCACTTACTCCTCATGTAGGATCTCTGTCCTTAATGTGCTGTACATTGTGATTTAATGCTATAACGAGTACTCAAACAGTACTTTACACTTTGTGTTTCTATGTGGGTGCAAACTGTTGAAATCTTTACTTAATGTATGCTAAACTGATCTTCTGTATATAAAGAGAAATGAAAATGAATCTTGATATGAATGGAAGGGGAGAGGGAGCGGGAAAGGGAAGGGTTGTGGGTGGGAGGGAAGTTATGGGGGGGGGGGACATTGTAATCCATAAGCTGTACTTTGGAAATTTATATTCATTAAGTAAAAGTTAAAAAAAAAAACTACCCTAAAATTTGCCTTGCTGGTTTCATAGGATTTTATGGTCTGTAAATGTATCTCCAAACAATACAGTGTTAAGTTCTGCTTTTGCTGATCTCCATATGAATAAAATCCTATTGATGACTTGCTTTCCCCTCACTACATGTTGCTGAAACTCATCCCATTGGATTCCTTTAGCTGAATTTAGTCATCATTGCTCATGCACTGTGGCACAGTCATTTCCCCATTCCACTGTTGATGGACCACTGGGCTGTTTCTAGTTCTCAGCCATCACAAACAGCAGTACTCTGGACGTCATTAGAAATGATAGTGGTTATATAAGATGAAAGTGATCTCTGGAGTAGGTGTTAAGGAGGGGAATTTTTAGGTTATAAGGTGTGCAGGAGGGCAGGTACTGTGTGCAGAGGGCTAAGTTGAAGCTTAGAATGTCTGCAATCCACATCAGAGGGTTTGGTTTGAGTTTTGGATACTCTGCTTCCTATATAGCTTACTGCTAATGCACCTGAGTAGGCAGCAGATCATGACTCAAATACCTGAGGCCTTTCCACCCACACAGGAGTTCCAGATGGAGTTCCCAGCTCCTAACTTCAGCCTGGCACATCGTTGGCTGGTGGCAGCATCTGGGGAGTGAACCAGCTACTGAAAATCATCCCTCTCTCTCTCTTTCTCTCTCTCTCCCTCTTCTTCACTGTTTCTCTGCCTTGTAAATAAAGGCAAGTATAAAAAGAGATGTACACATTTTTACCTTAAGAAGAGTAAACCTTGAAAACATTATACTACATAAAAGAAACTACACGTAAAAATTCATGTATTGTAGATTCTATCTGTATGAAATATCCAAGACAGAAATACTATAGAAACAGAGTAAGGGAGATCCATGGTTGCCAGTGACAAGCAGAGAGTAACAAATGGAAAATGTCTGCTAATGGAGTCAGGGTATCTTTTTTGAGTAATGTAAATGCTGTACAATTAGATAAAGGTGATGCTTGCACAAGTTTGCCAATATATAAAAAAACCATGATGAAAATGGTGAACTTTATGGTAGGTGAATTAGATCTCAATTAAAAAATGGTGATCTACAGAAAAGCAGGTGCACACAAAGGAAAAAGAAGGCTGCTCTTTTTAATACAGCACCGGCACTCTTCTGGGATCTGAACAGCCTACACTCCTCCTGTCACTGCCCAAGTTTTCGGCTTTGTAGATTCGGCTTTTCTCACATTAAGCCCCCTTAAATCAACAGCCAGGGATGAAGAAAGAGCTCTGCCCTCCCCTTCAGGGGCTCAGAGTGAGGAAGAGCACAGTGGTGAGGGACAGGGAGCACATCCTCCTCCCCTCGGCAAGCTCAAGTTTCTTCAGCAGAGAAAGTTATGTTACCACTGACATAAGGAGACAGGGTCGGGGTGGGGGTGGAGGCGAGAACTCACCTTCCCACAGTAGAAAATATCCTCTCTCCGCACCTTCCCTTCTGCTATCTTCTCCCTGATGGCTTCGCCCACTTCGTGCTCATTTTGGTAGATGTAGGCCCCGTCAATGTGTCGGTACCCCGTGTCAATGGCAATCTTGACTGATGTCGCACAGCTCCCCTTAGGGGTCTGAAATGACAAGGAGGTTGGGGTTGGAGAGAAGAAAAATGAGTGTTGCCTGTAGTTTAGTCATCATTAGTCAGGATATTTTGCATGTACATTGTTTGACAGTTCCCAGGACCCTTATATAAAATGGCATAGGATTTGCATATGACCTACGGCATCCTGAATATTTTAAACTTTGTCTAAAGATCTTAGAATACCTGCTACAATGTAAATATTGTGTAAGTAGTTACTATATTGCACTATTTAGGGAATAAAAACAAGAAAAAAGTCTGTCCATGTGCACTATAAACCCAATTTTTTAAAAGATTTATTTATTTATTTATTTGAAAGGCAGAGTTACAGAGATGCAGAGGCAGAGAGAGAGAAGTCTTCCATCCACTGGTTCACTCCCCAAATGGCCACGTTGGCTGCAGCTGGGCTGATTCAAAGCCAGGAGCCAGGAGCTTCTTCCAGGTCTTCCACATCAGCACAGGGGTACAACAACTTGGGCCACTTTCTACTGCTTTCCCAGGCCATAGCAGAGAGCTAGACTGGAAGAGGAGCAGCCAGGACTTGAACTGGCACCCACACAGGATGCCAGCACTGCAGGCCATGGTTTTACCTGCTACACCACAACACCAGCCTGCAGACCCAATTTTTAAAATTGATTGATCAATTAACATATGAAGGATGGAGAGAGTGAAAGAGAGACAGAAAGCCAGCAAACAAGCTCATCCATCAACTGCTTATTTCCCTAAATGCCCACAACAGCAAGGGCTGGGCCAGATTGGAGGCAAGAGTCAGAAATTCAACCCAACTCTTTCACATGGGTAGCAGAGACCCAAGTACTTGTGTCATCACCACTGGCCCCCACAGTCTGCATCAACAGGAAGCTAGAGACAGGAGCAAAGCTGGGAACTGAATCCAGGTATTGTACATCCGCTCCTGAATTTTTTTCTGAGTATTTTGAATATCTGGTTGAATCTGTGGACATCATATAGAGAGTCCACTGCAGTGTGTTATAGCAGCACAAAGCAGGCTAAGACTGTTTTTCAGACTCCACATATATCATTGTACTTCAGTTATGCTATTTAAATAAACACAAGTTGTGTCGAATTTAGTTACAATTTTCTTAATGAAAAAAGAAAGGCCTAAAGTGATTTCCATCCATCAAGAAACACATCTAATCTCATCAAATAAAATTTTCAAATTATCTTTTAGAGTGTGTGTGGGAGAAGGTTAATCCAATTTGCTGACTTTTTCAACTTCATAATCATGGTGATTGATCTGGTCTTATGCAATGGATGTTGAGAAATACTTGTACCTGTTTCTGTTTTTCACTCTTCTAACCAAATGCCTGACAAGTCATATCAGACATGAGGTCTCCAACCCACAGCTACTGATTTGTTGTAAAATGAACAGGATAAGAAGTCTGGAATGTATTTCTTTTTTTTATTATTATTTATTTATTTATTTATTTTTATTTATTTTTTTTTATTTATTTTTTTATTTATTTTTTATTTTTTTGACAGGCAGAGTGGACAGTGAGAGAGAGAGAGACAGAGAGAAAGGTCTTCCTTTGCCGTTGGTTCACCCTCCAATGGCCGCCGCGGCCGGCGCGCTGCGGCCGGCGCACCGCGCTGATCCGATGGCAGGAGCCAGGAGCCAGGTGCTTTTCCTGGTCTCCCATGGGGTGCAGGGCCCAAGCACCTGGGCCATCCTCCACTGCACTCCCTGGCCACAGCAGAGGGCTGGCCTGGAAGAGGGGCAACCGGGACAGAATCCGGAGCCCCTACCGGGACTAGAACCCGGTGTGCCGGCGCCGCTAGGCGGAGGATTAGCCTAGTGAGCCGCGGCGCCGGCCCTTTATTTATTTATTTTGACAGGCAGAGCGGACAGTGAGAGAGACAGAGAGAAAGTTCTTCCTTTCCCATTGGTTCACCCTCCAATGGTCGCCACGGCCTGCTCGCTGTGGCTGGCGCATCACGCTGATTCAAAGCCAGGAGCGCCTCTCCTGGTCTCCCATGCGGGTGCAGGGCCCAAGCACTTGGGCCATCCTCCACTGCACTCCCCGGCCACAGCAGAGAGCTGGCCTAGAAGAGGGACAACCGGGACAGAATGCGGCGCCCTGACCGGGACTAGAACCCCGTGTGCTGGCGCCGCAGGCAGAGGATTAGCCTATTGAGCCGCGGCGCCGGCCCTGGAATGTTTTTCTAATTACTTTATAGACCCACAGGAAACAGCCCAAAATCTAAAATGCAATGGAAATGCTGGAAGCATATTGCACAGGGCAATAAACAATAGTGAATGGAATACAGATCAGAAGAAATGACACAGCACTGCGAAAGTGATCTCCCTGTTAGTGTCTGACATTCCCTGTTTCCTCTGAAAATGATGTGGCAGGCTCTGCCCTGAATGCAACATAATTCCATGAAGGATCTATTTGCAAATATTCCTCCAGCCACCAGATAAGTTTTGAGATTTCTTGGCAAGCAAAAGCAATAAAAGTGGGTTGCTAAGGGAAGAAAGAAGAAACCATACAGAAGGAATTATAGTACCAGACAACTGGTACAATGAAAACTGGAGAGGACATACAAGAATGGATCTTAGGAGTACTGCCTCAAGAGGGAGCTGGATATCAGTTTGAATAAAGGATAGAGTTATTTTTTTTAAATATGGGAACCCTATCCTCTGACTCAACACCTCAAAAAACAATGCAAGGGCTGGCACTGTGGCGTAGTGGGTAAAGCTGCCACCTGCAGTGCCGGCATCCCAAATGGGCACCGGCTTAAGTCTCAACTGCTCCACTTCCAATCCAGCTCTCTGCTATGGCCTGGGAAAGCAGTGGAAGGTAGCCCAGGTCCTTGGCCCCTGCACCTGCATGGGAGATCCTGGCTCCTGGCTTCGGATTGGCACAGCTCCGGCCATTGCGGCCAATTCAGGAGTGAAGCCTCGGATGGAAGACTTCTCTCTCTCTGCCTCTCCTCCTCTATCTGTGTAACTCTGACTTTCAAATAAATAAATCTTTTAAAAAAATGCAAATGTACTACCAGCAAAGCTCTTGAAAATTTGGAAAAAGTAATGGCCCATACTAAGCAAAGTAGACTTTCCACAAATACAAATGGCAGATGGTCAAGAAAGGGATCAAAACTCTCAGAGCGGGCTGGCATTGTGGCATACTGGGTAAGGCCGCTGCCTGCAGTGCCAGCATGCCATATGGACACTGGTTCGAGTCTCGGCTTCTCCACTTCCAATCCAGCTCTCTGCTATGGCCTAGGAAAGCAGTGGAAGATGGCCTAAGTGCTTGGTCCTCTGCACCCACGTGGGAGACCTGGAAGAAGCTCCTGGTTCCTGGCTCCAGATCAGTGCAGTTCCAGCTGTTGCGGCCAATTGAGGAGTGAACCAATGGATGGAAGACCTCTCTCTCTCTCCCTCCCTCTCTCTCTCTCTCTCTCTCTGTAACTTTTGCAAATAAATAAATAAATCTTAAAAAAAAAAAAACTCAGAGAAGAGGACAGACTAGGGTGAATCTACAGTGTTAGGTGAGAAAACCCAGTGATGGTTTGTGTTCTGTAGCAAGGACCAGAAGACATTCCTTTAATCAAAGAGATAAGAATGCTTCAATGACAGAAACACCAAAATCACTGCAGTCAGTTACAGCTGTCCTTGGGGGGCCAAGGGAGTCTGTGGGAGATGCTGTTGCAGATCTGGGTTGATTGATAAATTAGAAATGACAGAATTTTTAACCATAGAGGCCATGTGGTAGTAGTTAATCTCCAAAGTGAGGTGGCAGAAGTTATCCTACTAAGCGTTATCTGGAGAACATGACCTACAGAGAGCTATGGAGATGGTTGTGGACATGAAACATTAGTTTCCAGAAGAAAAACAGGATGTCAAGATAAATTTGCACTTCAAATAAGCAAGAATTTTTTTTTGTTATAACCACAACCCAAATATTAAATGGGACATACTTAAATTAAAAATTATTCATTGTTGATCTGAAATTTACCTGAATATCTTATATTTTTATTTGATAAATCTGGTAGTCTTATTCTAAGGGCAAATTAGATAGGCTGCTTATAAGGATATTGCAAAATTTACACAAACCAAAGCAATCAAGAGTACATTTTTGTGGTACTGCTAGAAGTTCTTTAAGAAAAAGTCACATATATGGCTGCAGCCTGGGAAAGTGTTAAGAATTAAGCCTCTTACCCAGAGTTAGGCTCCTGAGGTTCCAGAAGCAGTGTATCCACACTTGCAGTGCTTATTCTTACCAGTGTTCATGAACACAATCATAAATTCACAAATGCCACGTGCTTAGGTCACTTGGAATTTGCATTCAGCCAAATTTCAGTGAAGGAAGTAGAAAGATTCCATTTTATTACCCAAACCAGTTTTTAATACTGAACTGATCTAATTTAACCTTTAGCTCAATACTCATGAAGGCACAGTACTCCTTGGAGACTGCTTTCACGATTACAAAAAGTTAACCAAGAAGATTCAAGCAGAAACAGATTACATTTTGCTCTAGACAACTGCTAAACACATACACACGACGGGAAGAGAGCAAGCTTACCGTTTTAGGCTCTGAATAGGTACCGAGTCCGATGATGGGAATGCTGTTTCCATCACCCAGAGGAATGCGGTGATTTGTGGCACTGAGGTCCATCTTGAAGACAGAGCCTGAGCTTTCAACTCGCTAGGAGTGGCTCTGATCACCAGAGGGAGAGTCTTTCTGAAAAGGTGTCCTAGGGCACCTTTTAGTCAAAAGACGAAGGTCAGAGGGAGGAGCAGAGGGAAGAGACGGAGAGTGACAGATCTATTTCTCAACCTGTGTTTTTCCACATTGTCCATGAAATCCTGTGTATGGATGTTCCCTGAACTTCATAGAGGCACGCAAATAACATAACCCGTTGAGAGTTTATGCTTACTTCTCTGCAAAGAGAAAGTGGAAAGAAAAAAAAAAAAACAAGAGGGAACAATTCTACTGGCTTCTTCCAGTTAAGATGTTGCTATGGGTGAATGAAGGACCTATGTTAAATTCTCTTCAACTACAAAGGAAGTTTATTAGTTCTAGCATTAAGGCTATAGTCGTGGAGACTAGAACAGCTTTTCAGGATTTCCCTGGATATCCAGAGGCAGCAGGACTGCGAGAAAGTCTTGAATTTTTATCTCCAGTAAAGTTCGGGAGCCACTAGACTAGAGGAACAAATATGGCCAAGATCAGGTTCCCACTCTGCAGGTGGTCTCTCTGTAGACTCTCCCCTTATCACTGAAAGGTGTTTATGCCTGTCCTTGGAGTGACATGCTGACAGGAGCAAACCCAAGGAGAAGGAGGTTTCACTTACCCCTTAACCTACACAGCAATGCAGAAATTCGGCCCTGCTCTCAATTGCCTTTCTTGGATCATGGGTCTGCCACCAAATCAATCACAGTGGTGAAAGGAGAGAAAAGACTGATGGCCTTGAGATAATTAGAAATCACTTCTAAATTTGCAATTAGGGTCAGTTGGGAAAGAGGGAAACAATGAACAGATGTTTATTCCAGTGTTCCTCAAAAGGACTGTGCTGTGTGTAAAATGAGAGCTTTGATCCTGATGGCTTCAAAGCTGGTTAAAGATCACGGACATGAAGCCTGCTTTCCAGTGCTTTGCCGCCTCCCTGGGATAGTTCTCCTAGCTATCACCATTGATTAGACAGCAGACACAGCAAAAAACCAGGCTGGGGCAGTCTGGGGCACGGCAGCAGAGGATTCATCACTAGAAAACAGATCCAAGAAATGCTTACCGTGCACCCTTGAGTGCTTAAATGTTGGTTAACACATGCTTCTCTGTTTTCATTATTACTTTTTGCTGTTTATCTCTAGAATTTTAGCATACGTGTAGATTTGTATGATCTGCATTACAATGGGGATACCAGAAAGTGCCATGACCCAGGGAACTCCTTCATTCTACCTGATTGTGGCCACACTCTCCCTTCACCTCTAGCCCCTGGAAATCAATCACTGTCTCTTCTCTATTACTATAGGTGTATCTTTTTTTTTTTTCACAGGCAGAGTGGACAGTGAGAGAGAGAGAGACAGAGAGAAAGGACTTCCTTTTGCCATTGGTTGACCCCCCAATGGCTGCCACAGCTGGTGCACCGCGCTGATCCGATGGCAGGAGCCAGGTGCTTCTCCTGGTCTCCCATGGGGTGCAGGGCCCAAGCACTTGAGCCATCCTCCACTGCGCTCCCTGGCCACAGAAGAGAGCTGGCCTGGAAGAGGGGCAACCAGGACAGAATCCGGTGCCCCGACAGGGAATAGAACCCGGTGTGCCGGCGCCGCAAGTGGAGGATTAGCCTATTGAGCCGTGGCGCTGGTCCACTATAGGTTTATCTTTTAAGGTGTTCATGCAGGGGCCCGCGCTGTGGTGCAGTGGATTGACATCCTGGCCTAAAGCACTGTCATCCCATATGGGTGCTGGTTCAAGACCCGGCTGCTCCACTTCCGATCCAGCTCTCTGCTATGGCCTGGGAAAGCAGTAGAAGATGGCCCAAGTCCTTGGGCCCCTGCACCTGTGTGGAGACCTGGAAGAAGGTCCTGGCTCCTAGCTCCTGGCTTCAGATGGGTGCAGCTCCGGCCTTTGCAGCCATCTAGGGAGTGAACCATCAGATGGAAGACCTCTCTCTCTCTCTCTCTAGTTCTCTATGTAACTCTGTAAGAGATTTTAATTTTTATAATATTTATCAATATTTTATATCCTACTTTGAAGGTAATTTCAAAGAACTTTTTGTCTCACTACAGATCTTTTTTTCTGAAAGTTTTATGATTTATGTTTTCCATTTAGATCTATGATCCATTTTCAATAGATGTTTATTTAATGTAGCAGATTTAGGTACCATTGTTTCATTTTGCATAATACTGTCCTTTTGTTAAAATTACATTTGTTGATGGGAGTCACTGTGCACCCGCTCCCCATATAGGACCTCTGCTCTTAATGTGCTGTACTATGAGAATTAATGGTAAAACTACTACTCAAACAGTACTCTATACTTTGTGTGTCTTTGTGGGTGCAGTCTGTTGAAGTCTTTATTTAGTATATACTAAGTTGATCTTCCTTATATAAAGATAATTGAAAATGAATCATGATGAAGAATAGGATGGGAGAGGGAGTAGGAGATGGGATGGTTGCAGGTGGGAGGGAGGTTATGGGGGGAAAAGCTGCTATTTATAGTTATTAAATAAAAGTTGAAAAGAAAAAAAAAGAGCAGCACCAAAAAAATTACATTTGTTGAAAGAGTTGCTTTCTCCATTGAATTTTTTTACATCATTTTTATAAATCAAAGAGCAGGTTGAGTGAGTCCATTTTGAACTTTTTATTCTGTTTCCATTATCTAGACATCTCTCCCTTCATGGATAACAAGTGACCTTGATTATTCATCATAAGACTTAAAATCATGTACTGTATTGCTTCTCGGCCTTTTGGCCAAGATCAAGTATAGTAAATCATATAATATAATCCCTCAAACTTTATTTACTTTTCCAAAAATGTTTTAGCTAATCATCTTCCTTTACTTTCTTTTTTTAGAAGATTTTATTTATTAGAAAAAATTATATATAGAGAGGGAGAAACATAGAAACAGTTCTTCTGTCCACTTGTTCATTCCCCAGATGGCTGCAATGGCCAGGGCTGAGCCAGGCCGAAGCCAGGAGTTTCTTCCAGGTCTCCAACATAGGTGGAAGGGGCCCAACACTTGGACCATCCACTGCTGCTTTTCCCAGGCTGTTAGCAGGAAGCTGAATCAGAAGTGGAGTTGTGGGGAGCAATTCGGACTAGACTAAGTTACTGGAATTAAGACTTGTTCTGTGCATCTGCTCTCCCACAATATGGCGCTGGGAGAGAAGAAAACAGCTTTTACCCAGCTGCCTCTCACCAACTTGACAAGCTGCAGGAGCTGCTCCTGATTGGAGGAGAGCAGCGTACTCGGCGTGTGGGCAGCCGAGTTGGGATTGGCGGAGGAGGACTATAAAGGAGGAGAGAGACGGCATGCACCAGGAACATCTAAGGGGAACATCTAGCTGAAGGAACACCTGTGCAGCCCCCGAGAAGAGCCGGCCGGCGGTGTGCCGCTCCCCTGCGGAAGTGGGGAAAGCGGCCAGGGGGAACCGCCCTTCCACGGAGGTGGAAGGGATAGTAGCCAACCCGGGAAGAACCAGCAGCAAACCCAGGGAGGGCCGAGCAGATGAAAGAACAGCGCAGGGTCCTGTGTCGCTCCTCCACGAAGAGGGGGAGCGACATAATGGTGCCGTGACTCGGATATGAAGCCTAGGCAGGGCTTAGTGTCGTTCCTCCACGAAGAGGGGGAGCGACATAATGGTGCCGTGACTCGGATAGGAAACCTAGGACGGATAGGAAACTTAGGAGGGAAGAAACGGGAAGAACTGGGAAAATATGGGAGAGAGAGACTAGCAAACAGCCTAGGGAAAAGCCGGACGAAAAGGGTGCCGGAAGGAGCTATTGAAAGCCTAGGCATAGATTCGGATACGGACTATGGGGGGAAGCTGGGAGAAATCTCTAAGGTCGAAAGCGAAAGTGAAAGCTAGAACAGACTGACTCAGATGCGGACTGTGGGGAGAGGCCAGGAGAAATGAGGGAGGAGTATTGTTGGAGGAAAGCTTGGGGAAACATACCGGGTAGAGAAAAATGTTAGGGAAATTGAAGCCGCGGGGGGCAGGCCGAGGCGGAAACGAAAGCCACTTTGGGATTCTCAAGTTAGCCCGGGAATAGGGGGCGAAAAGTTGAAACCAGAAGCGGAAACGTAAGCCCGGTTGGGATCCGTCTGATTAGCCCGGGGAGCAAAGGACGGGAAGCCAAACCGTGGGGCGGAGACGTAAGCTGGGTTGAATTCGCCAGGCTAGCCCGGGGAACTTAGATTGAATGCTAGTGGCGGAGACGTGAGCTGGGGCTGTGTGACTCGCGGAAGCCGCTGCGTGCAGAGAGAGCACGGGGCGTGAATAGATAGGGAACGCGGGGCTGGCGCGAGGCCGTGGTTCAGACGCGAAAGGGTTAAGTGCGAGACCGCGGAGTGTGCGCGCAAAGCCGAGCCGCGCAGATGAGAGAGGCGCGGGCTGAAGCGGCTCAGAGCCGGCGAGGCGCCGAGAAGCAGCCTTGGGGCGGAGCCCGCTGGCGGGGCGAGGCGCCGGGAAGCTGCACGGAGCTGTGAAGCTGCCGGCAGGGCGAGGCGCCGGGAAGCTGCGGGGATAAGAGAAACAGAAGTTTAGAAGTAAAATGAGAGAAATAGGAATGCTGGAAGATAGAAGTAAAATGGGAGAAATAGGAATGCCCGGAGATAGAGAAATAGAGAAATAGAAAGGCCTCCCCACAACACAGCAATGTGAGAGCTTGGATTCGGTCTGCCTGATTAAGTGAGACGATGAGCACCTGCGGGTGGCTGGCAGCTTATGCGCCGCAGGTCACCGAAGACAGGCACGAATTAACATCAGTAAGGCCTCCCCACAATACAACAATTAGGAGGCTTGGATTCGGTCTGCCTGATTAAGGCGGTAAGCACCAGCAAGCAGCTCGACCAGAGTATGAGCTGCAGGTCACCGAAGATAGGCACGAACCAACACTAATAAGTCTCCCCCACAATACGGCAATGAGAAAGCTTGGATTCGGTCTGCCTGATT